GGGGGGGAGAGGGGCCAGGCTTGGAGGAGGGGCCTGGGCTGGGGCAGCGTGGTTGCAGCAGGGGCAGGCGCCCCACTGGGAGTGGAGAGCGAAGTGGGGGACTCCACACCCTGTGCAGCTCGGGCAGCAGCGGGTGGCCCCGAAATGAGCAGCTGCCTGTGACAGGTGCACGCAGCAGCTGAGAGCAGGAGACAGCCGGGGCCACCGCTTTCGTGTTCAGGGCCTCTGCAGAGCCAGCGAATGGCGTCCTGGGCTGGGCAGGGGAGAGGTGTGGGCAAGGTTCTAGGGCTTCCTGTGGCGGGGTAGGGGGTGGAGAAGACAAGAGACCCCCCACCCACCACACACACACACCTTCGCAGCTGCAGTGACAACCGGGTCATCAAACTGCCACGGTTGGGGGCCAGCCATGTGCCAGGTGCTGCACATACAACCATCAAGAGACAGCCCCTACCCAAAAGAGTTCAGTCTGAATAGAGAAGGGTGGGGAGGGGAAACTGAGGCATGGGGCTGGGATGTGACTGGTCCATGGTCACATCACAGGTGGGTGCAAAGCCAGGCAAAGAACCCAAGTGTCCTGATTCCCACCTGCTGTCCTGCCCACTGATCAGTTAAGCCCCTCTTAACCTCCCCACTTAACAATTCTCCCAGGATGCACCAGGCCAAGGCCCAGCCTGACCCGGCTGCTCTCTGGGCAGGTGCCAGGAGGTGAAGGGGTAACCCCGGTGCTCATAGCCCTGGGGACAACTCGCCTGCGGGGGAAGGGGAGGCGCAGATGCTCCATCATTCGGAGTCTTTCAGTCCAGCCTCTCTCCAGAGGCTGCGCTCTGGCTCCGTCGGGGCGGGACGCAGGAGCCCCAAGGCAGGGCCAGTGCCCAGTGTGACACAGGAGCGCAGACAGACGGCGCAATGGGCTGTCGGCTCTTGGTGTCTAGAAAGCTCTGCTGGGACTAAAGGCAGCTCGTGGCAGGGCCCTCAGATTCTCCAGGGGGTTGGAAGCGGGTTTCATGGGGCCCGATGAACTCTGCAAGGGGCATCAGTGTGTGTGGGGGGCACTATAGAAAGTGGGGGGAGCCCATTTGTGCCCCAGGGCTCAGCACTGGTCAGTCCCACTCCAGACTCAGGGGTCCCAGCGCCCCTGCTCACCGCAGGAAGGGAAGGGCCATGCGCCAGACTCTGGGTGATCACCCCACTCAAGTCCCAGCCAGCACTGGGCAGGGTCCCATGGCAGGGGAGGGAGTCCATGGCTCTGAGGGGCTGACCCCAGAGAGTGCCGGCGGGGGAGGGGAGGGAACCCCAATGCTGGCACTCACGGGATAGATGGCACCAGCCCGTTGGCTGCTAGGGTGACCACGCCCAAGTGTGAAAAATCGGGACGGGGGTGCGGGGTAATAGGTGTCTAAATAAGACAAAGCCCCAAATATCAGGACTGTCCCTATAAAATTGGGACATCTGGTCACCCAATTGGCTGCTGCCCCCTTCCCTGTGGCCGGGCGCCCAGCGCTGCAGCCTGCGGTGAAACGGCCCCAGGGGTTATTGGGACAGCCCAGACACGGGGTCCCAGCGCAGCCGTTGCTGTGTGAAATCCTCTTGTGAAACCTGCCCAGCACCTGTGGGGAGATGCTTATCTGCAGGGAGGCCCTGAGCCAGTGCGGCCTGAGAGTGGGCTGGTGATGGGGGGGAGGGGGGCTGACAGCAGCGTTCCTCAATCCCGACCCACAGCTCCTGCTAGCCGGCCTTACAGTCAGGGTCTTCCTAAAGCGGGTCCCCGAGTGGGAGCCCAGCTCTCTGCTACCATCAGCAGGGGGGTGAATCCAGGACCCCCTATGGTCTATGGGGAGTTGGGGGAACTTTGTAGACAGCTCGTTTGTAAACTCTTCCGATGGCCCCTAGAGGGTGACATGGGGCAGCTGGTGGGTCAGAGCCCAGGCTGGGTGTGGGGATGTCGCAAGCTGTGGGGTGCGGGGGGGCGGGGGAGAGAATAAGGGGCTGGGAGTTGATAGTGGCTCTTTCCACATCTCCAGCCTCCTGCTCCAGAGCTATATAAGGGGCTGGGATGGCTGGAGCCGTTGGAGCTCGCTGAGGACCCACAGCCATCACAGAGGTGAGGGGGTTCTCTGGTGACCCCAGGGGCTATGGGTGGTGATGGGGAGCCGCTCCAGAGTGGAGTCACTCGGTCAGGGCCTGGCTCTTACAGCAGCCAGTGCTGGATGTCTTGGGAAAGTGACTGCCATAATTCACCTTTCTGTGGCAGGGGCAGATCCCTGCCTGACCCTGGGGGCTGTTCAGCTCCTGCCCTGGAGCCTGAGGTCATGAGGCCTCACTGTTGGCCCCTGAGGCTGCTCTGATACCCAGAAAGGCCTGGCACTGCTCAGCGCTCTCGGCCCCTTGTATCCTGTGGCAGGGAGTTCCACAGACTAACAGCACATGCTGGGTTCTCTCTGCCACCTTCTGTCCATAGTCAATGGATGCCCACAGCCCGTTGTCCCTGTGTTACAGGGCAGTTGAGTGACAGCTCACCTGTCTCCCCCCCAGCTGAGCCAAGGCCCCGGGCTAACTTCTTCACCCTTGCTTGGCCCAGCCCTACCTTAGCTGGGAAAGGCTGAGTTGGTTGGAGGGCGGTCATCAGCCCAGGGGAGTTTGGTGGTTGGTCAGGGTGCAGTGGCAGGAGGTCCCTAGGTGCGGGGGTGGTCAGTCCGAGCTAAGTGGAGGGAGGGGGATGGGCTCTAGGCAGGGGGGTCAGTATGCGCTCAGTGACTGTGAGGGGGTTGGTTGGGGCGGTGTTAATCTGTCTCTGTCTCACAGTGGTTTGCCATCCCAGGTCTGCCCAAGATGAAGCTGTTCCTGGTCCTGGCACTTGCCCTGCTGGGGGCCGTCTCTGCTCACCAGCTCCGTAAGTTCTGGGGCCCAAGTCCCCATGGCTAAAGCCCCTCCCCCACCCTGTGGGGAGCCTGACCCACAGGTCACTGCCCCCAGTGGGAACCTCCACCACCCCCAGCAGACACTGCATGGACCCCATGGGCTTGGGTCAGACCCCAGCAAGCACAGTACAGGGCTCCGTTACCCCAGACCTGTGCTCTCACTAGCCCCCAGGCCCACTCTGTTCCGGCCACCTGGGGCCTCTGCCCCCGATAACCTTCCACCTCACTGCAGCCCGGACACTAGGGTCCCCTGCCCCCCCAATAATCCTATGACCCTCTCCATCCGGGACACCAGGGTCCCCTGACCCCCCAGTGACACCCTGACCCTCTCTATCCCGGACACCTGTGTCCCCGGCCACTAGATCTGCTCCATCTCCCTCCTCCATGGATTGTTTGGGATCTGGGCTGCGTCTTGCAGCTGGAAGGGCCAATTGGTGTCTCTTGCACCCATCCTCAGATGAGGGCGCCCCGGAGCAGGAGGTACCAGCCGAGCAGGGCAAGGAGGAGCCCAGGGAGCCGGAGCCACCGTGCCCCACAGAGAGAGAGAGCTTCAGGGTGATTGTGCCTGGCCAGGGGGGCTGCAACTATCGGTATATGCTTGTGACCGATTGCCGGACATTTGAGAATGCCAAGGTGAGTGGGGCATGGGCACAGGTTGTGGGGAGGACTTGCAGATGGGTCAGGAAGTGGGGTGGGAGACCCATGGGGTTA